TGAAGAACCACAGGGGGGGGGGGGGGGGGGGGAGAGAAATGCATCCCAGACTCTAAGTACACCATATATTTTTGTCAGACTGGCATTACAAAAGGTAACAGCCGTTACAAAGACAGATGCCCATACCACAGCCTCTGAGCCAGGCTACACCCCATATCTAGGGGCAAGGAGATCTTCCCACAGCAAGACTATTTCACATTAATCATACAAGATCCATTTGGAGAGGCAACTTGGTAGGGCAGATGGCCACAAAATAAAACTCAAACTGCAAGAGAACAGTATTCCTACTCCCCCATAAAGAAGCCAGACCACTCTTGGATTACACACAGGTACACAGAGATCAGAAAGAGCACTTTAATTTAAGACAGCTGCCTTCTTGGACTGGAGAAAGATTGGTATAAGTGCAAACAGCAGGGAAGCCAGTCATTTTTGTCCCAAAGGCAGTTTAATATAAAGACCATTTTCTCTTTGTACACCTATATAGTCAGAAACCTCTGTCCCCAATCATCTTGAGCGAGAAAGAGTCAAATCAGTACGAAATACCATGCAACAGGAGGGAAAGGGAAGGATCTAAAAAAAAAAAAAAAAAAAAAACACACTCCCCAGAGTCACAGATGCACTGGGCTCTGGAAGATATGCTGCCACCATCAAGTTATTTTTAAGAACCCTGAAAAAACCAGGAAGGAACACTTGAATTCCTTCCCCAGGGGTACCCCAAGCTCTTCTACCACTAGAGAGCTTGAAAAAAGAAACAAAAAAACACAGAAAACAAACTGTCTCCCTGATAGCTGACCTCTCAGGCTAGGCAGACACACACACAGATATCCTGTTACCTTCGAGGACACAAGAATCAAATCATCGCCTTAAAAAAGGTGATTTTATTCACAAAACAAAAAGATATACTTAATAAAGCATAATTGGTTGCTAAATGTTACTGAGCAACTGAGACCAGATCGAACACAAAGAAACAATCTTTTTTGGGCTGTAGCTTAAATATGGTGAGTGGGGAAGGGAAGGCACATGGGATTCATACAGGGAAGTTTAGCCAAACAACCAAAACAAAGAAAAATACCCTGATCACAATTAAATATATATTTCCCTTATTTACTTACTATCCCTTCATAGTCCAGTCCACTTCTATGCCCCGAATTCCTTGGAGGCATGGTAGTCCTGATTATTGCATATTGCTTCCTCTAGCCCTTAACTTAGAACTCAAACAAAAGAAGAGCAGCCAGGTATCTGTATATAATTCAAATTTCAATAGTCTTTCCCATTGGCTTTCCTGGCTTTCTGCCAACACCCTCATTAGCTACCTCAAGTATCAGAGGGGTAGCCGTGTTAGTCTGTGTAGTCATGCATTATATGGAGAGTCTGGTCTCTTACCTGATTTTCTTTTCGAGGATCCATAGTCCCTGAAAAATAGGCAACAGATAGACATGGTTAGTGTTTGGAACACAGGGGGCAAAAAGGGTGCCTCCCAAATTCCCACCCATGCACTCAAAGGCTCATCCTCTGCTCGCCCTCCTTTAAAGTGGAGGTTAGAACTGCAAGGCATTGACACACACAGACTTATACACCCTGATCAACAGCAGCTTGTCAGCAGCAGTAGCAGCAGCTGGTGCTTCTGCAGCACTAGGGGGGCCAATGGACCATGTGATCCAAGCCAGAGCAAACCATCTACAACCAGCAAGGCAGGGGAGAAGAGTTGGCATTTCCCACCCCCCACCCCTTTAAATCAAGTTATTTACTGCCCTATTGCTGAATTACATTCCCTTACAAAGGTAAAAAGCAAGTGAGACGCAAGCTGCAAAGGTGCAGTTGCTAGAGTCATAGCTTGCCTTGCTCACAGTCCTTTATTTCAAATAGTCATTAACATCTGCAGAAACTCCAGCCCCTTCTGGTTGGCTCTGTCAAACACTTGTCCTCTCCTGCTTAAAGAGGAAAATGTGGTTCCTTTCTGTTGTTTTCAGGACGGAGAAGGCAGCTTTTCTTCTGGTTCCACAAATTTCCAGGAGAAATTGTTTTAGAATAATTAGAATGAGGGGGGAAATATGTAACTATGGTAACTACTTCTTCACACTCAGTGTCTGGTCTGTATCTGTCTCTCAAACCCTGATCATGAAATGGGACGTGTAGTCAGGATCCGGGGTTTGCTTGCTACAGATGCTGCCCCTGGCAGATTGAGACCTTTGTCACCTCTTTGGGCAGTGACTGCCTTGTTTGTGGTCTGTTGCACAGCACTGTGTACATTTTGAAAAGCTGGGAAATGAAGTATCCCCCCACCAATGATCTAAAGTCCAGAGTATTTGGGGATAATCTGAAATGTTGGCATGTTCCCTAAAATCAACGAGTGTAGAAAGGAATTTGATCCTCCCAAATGTTTTGGAACTACTCCCATGACATTTGGATGGCCAGGATTTACTACCAGTCAAGAAGAGGACAAATCCCAGTTTCTTTTTGGGCCCCCTGACATTTTCCTTTTGGGCCACCACTGCACGCTGTTCTTCTAAGCAGCATCCCCTGAGCTGGGCCAGCAAGGAGCCTCCAGATAGACCCCATTCATGCTGGAGGCAGATTCCACGTAGACTCAGACAGACGGGCATTTGCTTGATATAACGTTCCCATGGCATATGGGCCAATGGTCAACGTGCTCTGCATTTAAAGAAGTCTGTCTTCCCCAATGCCCATTTCAGCCCCTGCTTCCTTCTCTTGGCTCCTGCACTGACGTTACCAGGCCTGGTCCTCTCAGGTGCCCAGGACCAGCCACTCTGAGTGACAACAGTGTGCTACTGAGCCTGTGACACTGATGTGATCCCTCTGTTACAACAGACTGAAGAAACAAACAGGCATCTGTGGTTTCCCTGTGGAGTCGGGGGGGAGATGCAGAGCTGCTAGGAGGCGAGTGCCTTGTGTATTCAAACTCTTCACAAGCTGAGTCCCTCCCTGTGCTATGGGCCTGATTCTCCTCTCGCTTGTACCAGGTTTGCACTACGCAGACTCCAGCTGAGTATTGTTCATTTACACCAGTCTGAGATCACAACCAGTCTCTCTGGGAACCTCTTCCTGCCCCGCTTGTAACTCATGCTTTGCCCATGCACGTGGGTGTTCCTTACGTCTCCTCCATCATCCCAACACCCAGACCCAGAATGGCCTCTATGCTCCAGTGTGTCACACGACTTGACTCTCCCTCAGATTCCTCCTCAAAACTCACTTCTTCCCACTAGACATCCTCCCTTCTGTGTTCACATTTAACCCTCTCTGTTTTGCTTTCTTTATTCCCATGCCTTGCTATGTTAAGCCTAATTTAAGTCCCAACTAGGGATGCTAAACGGAATTGAATCCACTAGTCGATTACTTGATAAGCAGGGGAAACTGTGGTGCAGCAGCAGGTTTAGCTCCTGGGAGCTAACCCCTCTGTGGCTCTGCCTTTTAAATGTATTAAGAGCCTGCTGGCAACTGAGACATTTAAAAAGCAGAAGCTCAGAGGGGAGGGAGTGCCAGGTGTGAGCTGGGACAGTTGATTCCCAGCTGGTGCCTGGTTCCCCTGGCTGCACTTCTGCTTTTTAAATGCATTAAGAGCATGTCAGCACCTGGGACTGGGCACCAGCTGGGAATCAACTGATCTCAGCTCACACCAGTGCCCCGCTACACCCCTGCCTCCCGCGGAGACAGTGCTGGGGAGAACCGGCTTTTAAGCCGTCTCCCCCAGCACCAGCTCCTGCTCCCCCCCCCTTTCCCGCCCCCCCCGCGGGGGCGCGGGGGTAGTTGAGTTGCTACTCGACTATCGGATAAGCTTATGCTTATGATAGTCGACTAGTTGTTTACATCCCTAGTCCCAACCCTGGAAAAAAGTTTGATTTACACATGTGAATAGTCTCTCTGAATTCATGTAGAGTTTCTCAGGTGAATAAGCCAGGGCTGGGCAATAAAATGGTGTCAGTTTGCCAGGGTTAACCCCGGGTTGGCTACCGCCACTATATTTACCTGCGCCTCTGGAGTTACAGGCACTTGCAGCTCCTGTTGGCCACGAATCGCTGATCCCGGCTAGTGGGAGCAGCAGGAAACAGCACGGACCGGGACACCACTTCCCATAGATCCCATTGGCTGGGAACAGTGATCTGAGGCCAATGGGAGCTGTGATTGCCCATAAGTGTGGAGGTGCAGGTAAATATAGTAGCAGGGGCTTGCTAGGGGCTAATCCTGGAAGACTAGAATTGGCCCGCAAGCCGGTATTTGCCCACCCCGGAATAAGCATTTGCAAGAGCAGTGTCTTTGCATATGCACTGCAGGTGATGGGAACCTGCTATTTTAAAGTGCCTGACAAGACACCAGCCTTTCTTACAGTGTTGTGTTATTATTAGATGTATTACAGTATTTCCAGGAGCCCATAATTGAATCTGGGGACTCATTGTGTTAGGCGTGCCAGGCACACAAAGTAAGAGTCTCTGCTGCAAAGAGTTCATTCTCTAACTTGACACACCAGACAAAAGATGGGACAAAGGCACTATTGTGGCAGCGGGAAGCTGAGCAGAGAGAATAAGTGATTGCTCAGAGTCTCAAAGGAATTCTCATGCAGTGCTCTGGGCCAAGTTTAGAGTACAGGGCTATGCCCAAGAATGGCAAAGAAAATTCTAAATTAATAATTATTTAAATGATTACTTCTTCAGAGCAAGGTCCCCATTTTCTCCTGCGTTTTGTACAGCACCATGCACACTACCAGCACTTAACTCAAGTAATAAACTGCGCCCTGCATCAAAAACTGTCTGCCAAAGGAGGAGTTTAATATGGTTTCTTTAATTCCCCAAGACAGAACATTTTTCTGCTATCTGTCCTAAATCGGTGTTTCTCAACTCTTAGGGGTACTCAAGAGAAGTCTGGGGAGGTACGTCAACACAACTGAAATCTGGAGAAAATTGATTTTTTATTTTAAGTTTTACAGGGCTTTTATTATTTTTGTACTTTTTGCACCCAAAAATTTCAACTCCCACCCAGCTACAATTAAGTTGTTTAAACAAATGTGTTGCAATGGTAGGAAAAAAATTGTGTGTCTGAAAACTGTAGGTACTGGGAGTACTTATAATTTTTTATTTTTTTAAAAAGGGGGTACTTTATAAAAAAGAGGTTGAGAAACACTGACCTAAATCACCCAGTTCAACTTCTGTGTCACTTGCAATCTGAAAGGACATCTTCACAACATTACAGAGAAGACTTATGGCAACTCCTCTCTTTGGAGACTGACTTTCTTGCCATGGTCAATTATAGTTAATACAAAATAGAGACAAGCACTATTTAGCATCACAGTTGGAAAGGTGCGTAACAAAAGAAGACTCTTAGAGCCGAGTTAATAAAAGTGCTGTAGAAAATTCAAGCTGCTGAGAAGACTGCAAATGTATATTGCTTTCAGAAGGAATCTGCCATGATTTTCTCCAATGGTTTTCATTGTTGTACATGACCTTGGAAGGTTTCTCTTGAATCCCACATAGAGGCCTTGCGATTAAGATTTATGCCACTGTTCTGTGAGGGAATTACCTGAAAACCAACACCCTTTCCAGTCAACAGGTTAGCTTTAGCGATGCAGTTCAGCCCTCCACAGCCATATGCCAGCTGACAGTCTGGAGTGCTCCCTTTGCAGAGGTCTGCACGGATGGGGTCTATGTAACATCCCATTTTCTCGGTCTCACCCCCTTCATAGAGGTATATGCAGAACGGATGGTGTGGTGTTTTAGATGCTGCTTGTAATGATTAGAATTGGGAGCACTGGCTGTTGGGAGTCTGGAAGCACAGGAAACAGGAAGAAGGGGGGAGGAGATGAACCAGAGCTGAGTGAGAGCTACAGGGTGTGCAGCAGCAGCTTTGTAAAGAGGTTTCACCTTTGTTAACTAAAGGCCTGTTGAAGTTTGTTACTACCTTGCTTGCGTGATATAACAGATGGCGACCATGTCTCTGATATACCGGGGGTGAAGAGACTCCTTTGCACATACACACCACCTATGGCTGCCCCCCCCCACTTGTTCTGAAGGGGAACCATAGCATGGCATGCTTTATGGGGTCCTTCCATTAACACGCACAAGGCTTCTTGGGATATATTTAAGCAGTGAGCCTCCCAGCCGTGGTCGACAGAGCTGCAACTTCAAAGCACTCTCTACCCAGCTATTCTTAGAGCCCCCTTAGCCCAAGTCTAGCAACCCAGTCACTGCTGCGGGCTGTGTGTGAATCACTAAAAGGAGGACCAGGTTCTATGCATTTAATATAGATTTGTGACCATGATGTTCTTCCACGCGCTGAGAAAATAGCATCTGTAAAAGGCGAAGGGCAGGGAATTGTTGTAGAATTAAGCACATAAAAAGGTCCATGTCATGGCCCACCTAGGCCAGTATCCTGTCTTCTTACAGTGGCCAATGTCAGATGCTTC